ATTTCGCTGTCTAGTATTCGATGCATATAAACACCGTGAAATTATGGATGTCATTGAACAATATAGAGATGATGTAATTGCTTACGGTTACTTTACGACAGCTAATTGCAAAACAGCACAATTAATTGCCAATTCAACATTCAATTACCATAAAAATCCACCCACAATGTATGTCGATTGCCATTTCAAGTATTGTTATTATTGAACAATTATGGTGATTTACCTTTTTCGTCCTCTTTCCCTCTTTTTTATTTCGTTGCAGCTATGATAAATTCGTGTTAAAAGTGGCAAAAATAAAAAACTCCCCCATTTTGTTGGCGTTAAAAAAGCTTGGACCGTGCTATACAAGCAAAAATACCGAAATTGGAAAAAGTGAATGTATGTTATTCTTTCCGTCCGGTTATAAAAACTCATCGGAAACGGGAGAAAGTACACCAATACCCACCGATGAGAAGCCGAAAAAGAAAAAGAAAAAACGCAAAACCAAACAAGGTTCGGATGAAGAGAACGATAATGAAAACAATCAAGTGCAAAATGTGGCACAAGCACCGGCCGATGTTGAGCCGGAAGATTGTACGGAACAAGACGACGATGACAGTGCCGAGGACGAGGACAGTGCAGAGGGGCATGAAATGGAAAATTTGCCCGAAACGTCTGACAAATAAAATAAAGACACAATGTATATTTTTCGTTGAATAAGAAAATAACAAAACGAAAATTGCAATAAAAACGTACGCGCAAGCGACTAATTTAATTTTTTCAATTTATTTTCCATCCACTTCAAACGCATTTTCACAAACACCACCATATGCAGACAGTACAATCCGCTTTGTATTAACAATTGGAAGAAGCTTTTGATAGAAAACGAAGATGTTTTGTTAAATTAGATAGGAATTTCATTGTTATTTTTATTCGGCGCAGAGCACATTCAGCAAATTAGATTCGTCTTTATCTGTGTGCATTTGGTTCTAGCTTCTTTTAAAAAAAACTTTTTAAATGCACTACTTTTGTCTTTAAATGACTTAACACAAGCTCCATTTATACGGATTTCAAATCCACTCACAGTGGCGAATATATGAACCGGAGAAAAAGCCAGCGTAACATAAATAAATAGAATGAAAGTAGCGAAAAATGGCGTTGAGAAATATTGAGCGAAAAATGAGATCATCCAAATGTTGTTACGATGGAAAGTTGAGAGTGGAGCTAATGGAAATAAAGCAGATTTCCCAAATTGATTATAATGGTCACCAAAGAGCAGAAAGATTAGATTTTCTTCGCTCGGATGCGTTTATATTGCTACAAACATCTACTCGGTGGCGTTGATATCGTAATCTCTTTATGAGACTTTCGCAATTTGAATTCATTTCCATAATTTTATTGTTTATAATTTGGTTTTTGCGTATTCGATTGATAAACCGCATTAATGCTTCTTCTTCTTGAGATGAAAATCTCTTGTAATCTTAATAATGACATTTCATGGACGGAGTTCATTGTTGTCGCTGATTCGTGTTCATTTGAAGTCGTAAGAAACTAATCATCATTCTAATTGACTTATTGTATTATTTTCGATGTGACTAAGATTTTTGAAGATCACATGAGTTGAAAATTATCCAAATTCAAGGACAAAATCCACGAGTTGCATCATTTTATTTGTCATCGAATTTTAATTAAAATTGAATTTCAGCAATGAAAATACCATCTCTTTATCAAAATTGCCTTTTTCTGCACCCAGAAAAAAATTTGAAGAATATTTCATTATCTGATGTAAGTTTGAAAGAATGCACGACACTTAATGGAAAAATTTCAAATTAAATCAATTTAAAATGTCTATGTTACAATAGAAACTATTTAATTATTTGTTTGCGTATACCAACATCGATTTTCATAATATTTATTATGCATTACTTATGATAATAGAAAATATATTTACAATACATATGTTTTTTTTTTACATTTATAAAAAGCAGGTAGAAATTGTCAGTCATTATTTCATTTGTTAAAACGTGGTGTTGTTGACAGGTAACAATGACAAGTATCTTTTTTTGAATTTTTTCGAGATGTTTCAATGAATTGTGAACACTTTTCGGTGAAACTTTAATTGTATAAAAGTACGATTTACACGCACAAGGCATCAGTATCTGTATAATTATTATATCGGAGAGAACTTCAGTTCTTTAATTTTAAGATGATTTCAGCTATTATCTTTGCTCTTTTTCTCTACAAGTAATTTATTATCTTTTGTGAAACACTGTATTTTTAAACAAATACTGTTATAATTCGTTGTATTTTTCTTTTATAGTCTCAACCATGGCGCATATTGTTGCATTGACTCAAATGAAAATGACGTCACTTTCAAGTATGAGTATGTCTTATCAAGTTTACTTTTTAAATTTCGCATAATATTTTATTTTATTTTCATAGTACATCGATGGCAAAGAATGAAATGAAAGTTGTGTAAGTATTTAATAATAATGCATGGTTTTGTCTTAGAACGTCAAAAATGGCTCTCAAAACGTCATGAAAAGTGTTTTGTGTTGTTGAGGTATTTGGATTTGAAGAAACTTTTTAAAATATATGAAGCATGCCCCAAAACAAAGCTACGTTGCAGTATCGTGAAGTGCGTTTGATCAGATGAAAGCAGTGTATCAACAGTGTTTCAGTGGGTTAATTGGCTTCTCGGAATATTGAAGAGAGTCACCAAACTCTGTAATAGATTATGTTTTAAGGAGACGCCAGATACAGATTAAATTTTGGGGTCCATATTTGTAAATTGAATTTTTTTCAAAACTTTCGATTCCAAAGATTACTCCAATACCATTGTTGTGAACATTTGAATCGGTTTTCATGAAAACATTTTACGCTTCGATAAAAAATTTATTTTCTATGATAGAAATTCTATCTATTCAACAGGATTAACACAATAGCCGTAGGTAATAACATCCATAACCTCGAAGAGTAAGAAAATGTAACCTTTTCAGCATGTACTAGACATAATGACTCTTTTTTCTCACAGTGACACGCAAAATTCAGATGAATTGGAGGCTGAGTTATGTCAACAATGCTTGCGTTTGAAATTACTGAAAATGTAACAATTTTTTTATTTTATTTTTTTAGGCTACTTCAAGAAGTTAAAAAGCTCTATTCAGTCGATGATGTGTAACTTCATTCAATATTTAATTTAAACAAATTTGATAATTAATGGAATATATTATTTTCAGTCCCAAAGAAGCAACTGAATGTTTTAAAAAGTATTTATTCATTTTCCAAGCATTATTAAACATTTTTGAAATGTAATTGGATGAAATTAAATTTTTTAGGATGGTCAAGCGATTAAACTCACAATATAAAAGTTTTAGTTATGAAAATCTTGCTGTCAGGCGACTAAAATAGTGAGATTTTTTTAGTCAATACAAAATAGATAGCTTATGCAGTTGATGAATCTAATATTTTTTCAGTTTCAAACGATTTGCACATGATGTGCAGGAGGCGATGGAAAAGTATGTAAAATAATGATATTAAATGTATGGATGTTTGATGATTTTACTGTTACATTCCAGTCAAGAGGTACTAACGAACAATGCGAATGTATGGAAAGTAGCAGCACATATGTGAGTATTACAACACTGCAATTGCACAAATGAAATTAAAGCATTCAAATTATATATACTTGCTTTTATCTGCTTCATTTAGCGTAAACATGGAACCAACGTAAATATTGATCAATCTGCTGTAGTTTTTACGATTTACAAGCGATTTTCTTTCTCATTGTAGTAAATCAAGTGAACTCAAAAGACACCAGAAATTACTGATTCTACTTTCGGAAACTATATACAAGTTAAAACTATACATTAACTTAAGAAAAACAAAAAAAGATTTCAAAGAAATTTGTGAATTATTAAATAAACCACCACCTACTTTCTGGTAATTTTTCAAGTGTGTTTTTGTTTTAAATCAATCGATCACTTTGCAAACATGGACATTTGATGTCTGCACTATTTGTCCTGAGCTCTTTACACTACGCATGTATATTACATAAATAATGAAATATTGGCTCATATTAAACATAATGTTTACTTCTTATATTACAACTTGCTGCTTCTAAATAGATCACGAAATGATCATGCACAAGTAGAGTGATATT